AAATAAAACATTGCTATCATATGATGTTGCTTTGATTAAGTCAGATATTCATAAATAGGCTAAAGCCCTGTGTTAAAAAAGAATGCATATGGAATTAGATTTTTTTTTTTTTTTTCATGTGTGGATAAGTAACCATGGAAATAGAAAATGGGGTGTATGCAAATATTTGGGCTATATTAGACTTAATTTAATACCTGTTAACCCATAATCAGAATTGCTTAATCTTGAGGATAATGTTTTAGGCATTGGTACCAAAGTTAGTAAATTATGGTTTTAAGGATTATCTTATTCCATTTTTGAAGCCATAAGTTGTTTAAATGGGAGTTTTACAGTCTTATATGGAGGAGAAGTAACTTTCCATCTTTGATTGTCAATAGGAAGTTGGTAATAGATTCCCAGCTTCACAATCACGCAAATGTTATCATCTTGGTCACTGAAAGATTTTATGATCATTACAGATTGTCCAAAACAGAGAACACTGTTATATTTGTAAAGCACAAATAATTGCAACTTTTTTTTCTCTTTAAGGGATGCGTTGATGGAAAGTTTTGGTTGCCACAACTTAAAGTTATTCTGGACTTTATATTTTGAAGAGAGTAGCACAGATAATGGTCACAGCCCTTGCTGCTTGGATAGCGATTTTTCAACCCGGTCATGAGGGTCTACTTTCCACTTTAGATGGATCTATACTCTACCACACCTGATTCTAAAAATGTCAGTACCTCGTCAGCATGCCATTTACGGCTTTAGGAGTTTTTTGATTTGTATTTAAAATTAGATTTTAAAGGTTTGGTGGAGAATGTTCTTTTTCTGGGTGGATATGAATTCAGGTGATATGTTTATGTAAAGCCATTCTATGTGCTCATCCCCATTTTCACTTATCGGTGGTGAGTCTGACATGGTGGAAAAATTATAAATCTTCTTTTAGAAAGTAAGGTTGTATGAGGGATGCAAACAGCAACTTTTAAACAGAGCGTTCATGAGGAGAAATGGGCTCATGCATGCTCTCACACGCGTTTAATAGAAGCTGCCTCTTGGGAGCAGGTACAGGGTTGTGCATGTGCATTTTTTTTTTTTTAAGTGGAGAGGACAGTAGATCCTGAGAACCAGGATTGAGAGCCCCTGTGCTAGAGACTTGTTTACTTTATCCATCCCTGCAGGCAGATGATCCTTAAAAATGATTCATATCATGAAATAAATTTTGTCAATTTATCATGAAATAAATATTTTAAGAGATTGTCAGCTATAGTTTTTTGCTTTAAATGTTCTTACTTACTAGTTTAGATGCACCAAAAATCATCAAAGTAACTAGAATTTAAAGGTGTGCAATACATGGCAAGTATTGCCAATATAAATAGCAATAGCAGTATTTTTTTTATGTTTAGGTTTGAGATATTATCACACCTATGATCTTTAAATGTTTTGCGTCTTTTTTACCTTGTTAAACATCTGGATAAAGCTTATAGGTAAAAAATCTTCTAATATAATATGAAGATGGAGAATAACAAAAAAAAAACAAAAAAAAAAACGGTATGCATATTTCTTAAAGTGCAAAACAATTTGATAACAAATTGAAATGAAATCTATGTTTGGTAGAGAATTCATAAATCACAAGAAAAAAATAAAACTAAATTTGACCCAAGTGCTGGTATTTTCTGGATTTATCTATCAGATCAAACTATCACGGTTAGATGGATACTTCAGTTTAAGATTCAATTTTTTATGCACTGTTCTGTTATGCTTTGCCTTGCTATTATTCTTTAATTCAACATGGATATTTTCTTGCTTTTCTTCGAAATTTTTTTATTACTAATTTAAAGACTCTGGTCCAAAGACAATAATCTCAGTTTTTTCCGCATTAAAAATCAGAACATTTAAAGTCATCCAGGTTTTTAGTTCTTTAGACATGCCCGTAGTCTATGTAATGGGTTAGTATCATATGGATTTATTGACAAATATAGCTGAGTATCATCAGCATACAAATATAGAGGAAATAATACCATGCCGTCTACGCTGCAAAACATTTAAATATAAGCAAGTAAATTTTTCTTGCAATATGTGCATTTTTTCTTGAGCACGTAAGACACATGCCAATGCAATAAGACAAATTACATTTAAAACAAATTAAAAATAAAACAATTGCATTCTATTAATTCATGCATATAATATCTAAATATATTAATTTAAGGTTAAAAATATTTATTCCACAGGCAGACCATCTGATTTACCTGCTCGAATTAGGGGTAAATACACATATTTTAAGAAAGTTTTACTGATCTTTTGTGTATTTTTGCAGTGTAGAATTCTATTAAGTGGGACCACGTATATATACTGTAGTAAAGAGATCTGAACCTAGCACTGATCCCTGCGGTACTCCACAGGTAACGATGAGGAAAAGCTATCATCAACTTGAACAAACTGAAATCTGTTAATCTATAAATACGATTCAAACCAGCCTAGCGCTGTTCCCTTAAATTCTACAAAATATTGAAGCTGTATGTTATTATGATCGACTGTATCAAATGTAGCACTGAGATCTAACAGGACAATTACAGATACAAGTCAATTATCTGGGGCCATGAGAATATCATTAGTGACTTTCATCAGAGCTGTTTTTGCGGCTTGATGAGTGTTAAAACCTGACTGAAATTCAAACGGGTCAATATATTGATTGTTTATTCTTCAAATGATGGAACAGTATTTATATTTGTAAAAACACTGTACAGTACATGTTAATTTTTTTTTTCAACTGTCATTTATTCTGTTATTTTTATACACTTCTTAAGGTCCGCATTTGTGTGACCACTTTTACTGTAACCTTTTGCTGCTGCTGTAATGCCAAAATTTCTTCATTGTCGACAATAAAAGGATTTTCTATGTTCTAATACAGTGTAAATGCTTACAAATATAATTTTAAAAATACAACAATGTTGTCGCGCTGGTTGATGATTTAAACATATTGATGATTCTGTCTTTGATTATCTATAAACATATTAATCATGTCAATATTTAAATGTGACACCTATTTGTTATCTGGACATACTTTTTTGTGTAATAGTGAGGTAACAAAAAACGTATTTTATGCTAACACGAATTGTCTAAACAGATACAACAACCCTAAGCTAAGTGGTCAAGTATGTTTGCACTAAGAGGTACCGGTAGTCATAAATTAAGGGTTATTTCATTTGATGTTGAGAAGATTTTTCTTTAAGTTAAGTGCACAATTTCTGCAAATATTGATGAGTCCAGCAGGTGGTTCTAAACAATTTATTCACCAACCCAAAATAAATTATGTATAATATTATATATCTCTGCTTATGAAAGTTTATCTGATGTAAATGTTAGCAATAAATTAACCTATTTAAATTCTCTACCAAGCAAACTTCCCAGAGAATTTTAGTGACAGGACTGGAAAAGCAAAAAAAAGCTAAATATTTGGTGGTGGTAATATATATATATATATTTCTCAGGATTTTTTACAAATAACTTTAAATGTGATACAAGGCATTACAGATCATATCAACAGAGCAAAATAAATATATTGCACTTAAAATAAGCCAAAACAGAAACGTTCTAGGGTCCGATTATGTCAAACAAAACATAAGAAAATTATCTTCAATTTCAAACTCAAAGGCGTCAATGTTTACATCAAAAATTGACTGTACATCAGATAAGGCTGTGAAAGATATACTCCCTTTCAAACCAAGAACAGATCAAACCAAAAGCTGGATGGAAAACAGGTTGCACAAGTCATTTTACAGTGTTTGTTTACCTGGCTCTTTTAAAACCTCTCTGAATAATCAGATCTTCATGCAACCACAAAGTATTATTAGAAGCAACACCTTTCTGTTTTTTTGTTTACAAAAAGCTGTAAATGATGCGTAAAAAGACCAGCCATTCTTTTCTGTACATGGCATCCTTCCGTGATTTCAGCCCTTTTCCAGTGTGAAAAAAAAATTCCCCATGTAGACTATAACAGACCAAATAAATCCAAATATCCAGGAACATTTTGTTGTTTGTCCAGAACAGATTTTCAAATCTAGTGTCTCTTTTTCAATACCTGACAGTGCCACTGTCACTATGCAGGTCAGCTCTCTATGCTTCCGCCGTTTTTCTCTCTCTGTGCTTTAGATGGGGCCCCACAGAGTCATTATTTTAAGGTGTTGATGTTCTGTCGGCCCATGCTGCCACGGCCATGAATCAACTCCACCTGCTGAGGATTGCCTGCAGGTGCTTTCAGCTTGTTATGTAGAGGCCATCAGCATAAGGCTTCAGGTGTCTGAGCTGTTTGTCTCCTCTTCTTAAGTTGCTAAATAGAGTCCATCCTAACCAGTTGATGTTTCTGTTTTTCTTCTCTTATGTTGTTGTTATTTCTTCTGACTGTTTGCCTGAAGCCACCTTTAACTGTTTCTTAAGAAGACTGGCATTATAAAGATCCGATATGATTATTAATTTCATTCTTTTTATTTTGCTCTGCACCAAAGGAGGTTGAAATATGGTCCCTATTTTCTGTATCAGCTTCCTTGTAGAAAAAAGGCTTCTCATATAAGAAGTAATATTCAGCTTTGGTACCACACATGAATATATTTTATACAGATGGTCTGAAGTAGATATGAATCAGATTTTTTTGTGTTTTATCCTTCAGTGAAAATGCCTTGATTTTGCAGTATTTGTATTATTTATGCTCTTTGCTGATGTAGCATTTAGATGCTAATCGGATATGCTGTTTATAGCTTTCCAATTGTAGATTTAAAACATCATAGGCTTAATTAATGCTGGCTCTCCATTTTAATTCCCAAACAGCCAAGCATGGGAAGAATGCAACAGCCATCCTTCAGCTAGCTGACCAGCAGTGTGTGGCAACAGGTTCTGCCTTACTCTATCTCCCAAAGAGTGGGAGGGACCTTAAACCCCTGCAATTACTCTGGCATCTTATTTATAATATTTTAAACCATAAAAACGGTGTGATTTAAAAATGTTAGCAGTTTAAAACCTTTGCCTTTTTTTGAAGAATGTTTTACTGTATGCCATAAATGGTGGAGCATTGATAACATTGATAAGCAGGTTTGCAATTCCCGGTTTGACCGGGCCTTGAACAAAAATAAACATTTCCCTATCTTACTCACAGTCCTTCTATCTGTATTTCAACATGTTAAGCAATGTTTTGTCTACTGCAGTCAGCATGCGATCTATGACTCTTTTTTTTGGCAATTTACAGTGAGAAAAGGGATGTAGTGAAGCGTTTTCTTTTCTTCAGTTTCTTTAGACACAGATCTACATCATCCCCAGATTGTGGAGCTGTTATTCTGAACTGTACATATGGCTGGTTTCCTTCACACAGAGGAGTGAAGATAGCGTCTCTGCATGTCCTTCATATTGAAATGATCCCTCTATCTCCTTGTGTCATTTTTAGGAATCTCAGCAGCCGTTTAAAAACGATTAGAAAGTGTACTTTGAACTTGAGGGCTGAAATAAAACAAGCATGCACGTGTATTTGCCTTGCATCTCGTTTGCAATGAGGTTGTCAGTCTTTTCATATAACAGAACTGTTTTTTGGATTCAGATCCTGAGAGAGGAGCACAGTCTGTCTCGCTTCACTGTGCAGGTTCCTCTTCACATCTCGACCCTCATCTCAATCGCTGCAGTTCAGATATTTACAAAAAACAGTGGGTCAGGTGCAAATCAGATGAGGAGTTATGAGGATTAATGGTCTGCACCCAATCAATGGTCAGAGTTAGTTCTGGCCCTCTGTTCTTTACAGTCATACAAAGGGCGTCATGACCGTTGAGGAGTGGCGAAGTCCTTGGATGGCAGCGTAGGGCCCCTGCTGGAAGTAGTGGTGGTAGCGGGGCATGTGGAAGGAAGGGAAGGAAGGCCCGCTGCCCTGCATGGTTCCAGCCAGAGCAGTTGGTGTGAGCGGCATCCCTAGCCGGCTGTAAGGAGGGAGGGATCCTTGGATGGGGTGGGGTAGGGAGGCGGTTCCGGTGCCCATGGCTGACAAGGTCTGAGGATGCTGGAAGCCTGAGAAGCCGGAGGTGGTGGTGACCCAGGAACTCAAGGAGAGGTTGTCTGAGGCGGTAAACGCTGAGCCTGCTGGAAAAAGAAAGGTGGAAATAAAGACTTGGTATATCTGCAGATTAGTTTAAGCCTTGATAAAATGTATGCCTTAAGACTGCGTTTATATTTACGGGCTTTTTTAAAGACTCTGAACTTCACAGCAAACTATTTCTTTTATAGTGATTGTTTCTAGCACACCAAATCATTATTGAAAGGAATTATAGTGTGTTTTACTGAAAGGCTTAGAAAGTCTTTATGTAAATGTGTATAAAATTACATGCCATTCTTTCTTTTGTAGCATATACAAAAGTTACTACATATAATCTGTATTTTTTAGAGGGATTAAATTCAAGTCAATGAGTCGATGCAATCAGCTGGTTTTCCTTAGGTATAAAATGTGAACAATTTGTCTGGATGATCTGGTTGAATTGTCTCCTTAAAGAGCTTTGAGATGACATGTGTTGTGAATTGCTGCTATATAAATAAACTGAATTGAAATGAATTTGTCAGCAGGTGCTTGACTTATTCATTGTGATCTTCAATAATGTTTCTCCAAATAAGAAAAAAAATTGAATGAAATGTTAGCAACAAAATCAATAGTAACTAAATATTACACTGACTTTTAGGTTTATGTATTCATTTGAAAGAAAAGAAGGAAATGTAAAAAAAAAAAATCACTGACAAAGATAGGTTCCCCTTTTAACCCATTTAAACAAAAAGACAGACATTTTAAATGTATTATTTACTTTTTTAAGTTGCTCAAAGCATCTATGAACTGTCAATTCATTCCTCGCTCGCTGATGTATGAATAAGACACAACACAGGTTTATAACTGTTCAAAACAGAAAAGACAGGAACGCATATGTAGCATTAAGACAATGATTAAGTGTGTTAAACCTCATACGTCTCAAACTGGGTTAAAGGAAAAGGAGCTGCTTGTTTCAACTAATTAAGAGATAAGGTTAGAGTAAAATTAAAAAGTGTAAATAAATTGAAGAATCCAAACTAATCTTGACCACATAAAGTGGCAGCATAGCATATTGTTAGATCAATGCTACAGAGAGCTGCATATATGGGTTATAAAGTGTCTATAACACCATTAGATGTCAGCCCAATACATAATAACAAGCCTGACCAAAGGTTGTATGGTAAAATGTCATTTGGGGCCCTGACCTCTTTAGTACATCCCCTCCACTGATGGTGTTTTGATACAGATTTGGTGGAAGCTGGGAGACGGGGCCAAGTTCAACTGACTGAACTTTAAAGCAATCATGGATATTTAGCAGAGGTTGTTGTAATATAAACAAAAGAAAATCTTTAAAAAGTACTTCTTAATATTTTATTTGCAGGGTTGGAAGTTCCTTTCAAATTATGTTTTTTTCCCAGGATCTTTGAATGTTTTTTTTTTCCCCGCCGCAAGAAACAGAAGAAACAGAAGAAACTGTTTTTTTGTGAATATTTTTCCTTAAACAGGCCCAAATCCAGTAATAAGCTTAAGGTGGGGTTCAATATCTATAAAGCAGGGTTGTTTTGGGGCATGAATAGCAGAAGAAAGCCAACTGGCGTAATCTGAGTATACAGGTGCTGGTCATAAAATTAGAATATCATGAAAAAGTAGATTGATTTCAGTAATTCCATTTAAAAAGTGAAACTTGTATATTATATTCATACATTACATACAAACTCATATATTTCAGATGTTTATTTTGTTTAATTTTGATGATTACAAATGACAACAAATGAAAATCTCAAATTCATCATATCAGAAAATTAGAATATTGTGAAAAGGTTCAAAATTGATGGCCCCTGGTGCCACACTCTAATCAGCTAATTAACTCAAACCACCTGCAAAAGCCTTTAAATGGTCTTTCAGTCTAGTTCTATAGGCTACACAATCATGGGGAAGACTGCGGACTTGACAGTTGTCCAAAAGACGACCATCGACACCTTGCACAAGGAGGGCAAGACACAAAAGGTCATCGCTAAAGAGGCTGGCTGTTCACAGAGCTCAGTGTCCAAGCACATTAATAGAGAGGCGAAGGGAAGGAAAAGATGTGGTCGAAAAAAGTGTACAAGCAAGAGAGATAACCGCACCCTGGAGCGGATTGTGAAACAAAACCCCTTCAAAAATGTGGGGGAGATTCACAAAGAGTGGACTGCAGCTGGAGTGAGTGCTTCAAGAACCACCACACACAGACGTATGAAAGACATGGGTTTCTGCTGTCGCATTCCTTGTGTCAAGCCACTCTTGAACCACAGACAGCGTCAGAAGCGTCTTGCCTGGGCTAAAGAGAAACAGGACTGGACTGCTGGTGAGTGGTCCAAAGTCATGTTCTCTGATGAAAGTAAATTTTGCATTTCCTTTGGAAATCAAGGTCCCAGAGTCTGGAGGAAAAGAAGAGAGGCACTTCATCCACGTTGCTTGAAGTCCAGTGTAAAGTTTCCACAGTCAGTGATGGTTTGGGGTGCCATGTCATCTGCTGGTGTTGGTCCATTGTGTTTTCTGAGGTCCAGGGTCAACGCAGCCACATACCAGGAAGTTTTAGAGCACTTCATGCTTCCTGCAGCTGACCAACTTTTTGGAGATGCAGATTTCATTTTCCAACAGGACTTGGCACCTGCACACAGTGCCAAAGCTACCAGTACCTGGTTGAAGGACCATGGTATCCCTGTTCTTAATTGGCCAGCAAACTCTCCTGACCTTAACCCCATAGAAAATCTATGGGGTATTGTGAAGAAGAAGATGCAATACACCAGACCCAACAATTCAGAAGAGCTAAAAGCCACTATTAGAGCACCCTGGGCTATCATAACACCTGAGCAGTGCCACAGACTGATCGACTCCATGCCACGCCGCATTGCTGCAGTAATACAGGCCAAAGGAGGCCCAACTAAATACTGAGTGCTGTACATGCTCATACTTTTCATGTTCATACTTTTCAGTTGGCCAACATTTCTATAAATCCTTTGTTTTTATTGGTCTTCAGTAATATTCTAATTTTCTGATATGATGAATTTGAGATTTTCATTTGTTGTCATTTGTAATCATCAAAATTAAACAAAATAAACATCTGAAATATATGAGTTTGTATGTAATGTATGAATATAATATACAAGTTTCACTTTTTAAATGGAATTACTGAAATCAATCTACTTTTTCATGATATTCTAATTTTATGACCAGCACCTGTACAGATGTGACCAAATTATTCATTCATCTAGATTTGTTATACATACACTTAATAAATTCTTAATTTGTGTCACTGTGTGTATTCTCATAAAGATTTCTCCTTATGTAGCCTGGTGGATATGGTAAATTTACTTTTCATTGGAACTTTCTCTAAAATATGATCTATTACCAGGACTTTCTCCCAGTTTATTTCAGAAGAATTAGAAAAATAAAAACCTTTCTTCCAGTTTCTTCCACTTGAAGAAACTCAACCCTGTTTATTTATATCCATTATTTCTAAGTTAATCCAAATTAGATCATGAAAAATTCTAATTCTTTGTAATATTTATTGCTTTTTAAATCTTTGCCAAGACTGCATATACTAGTGCTGTTAAACAGAAGAAGTGGGGACCTTTTCATTTACAATTAATTCAAACTATGGAGCTAGACTTCATAAGGAAAGTAGATTTTCTCAGATTATATATTTTCACCTTTAGTCTTTCAGCAAACATATATCTCATCTAAAGCCAGATTCAGGAAATTAGAATATCTGTCTTGATGAGGTTTGTTTATCAGATATATCTGGATATATCAACTTTTAGGCCAAAATTAAAGCTTGCTTTTTATTAAGCCCAAATGTCTGTATTTGAAATGTTTTCTTATAATTCTGATGTGATATTCTGATCAGAAAATATTGAGTTTTAATTAGCTCAGAAATCACAGAAATAAAGGGTTAAAATATTGTGGTTCACTTATTGAATAGAGATAGTAGAATAAATGAACTTTTCAGTGATATTCTAATTTACTGAATGGATCCATTGTGGCGACGCCTCACCTCTGGTGTGTGTGGTGTGTCCGTCCTCATTCAGGTTCTCCTCGTCCCCAGCGTAGGTTCTGATCGGCGATCGGGCGTATGAGTGCTTGTGGATCAGATTCTCAACACTTTCCCTGCAGCAAAAGCCAAAGACAGAGCCCCAAAGTAAATCTCTTTGTTTCTTTTTTTTTTTTCATCCTCCTAGAAGCAGTGACATGTCCAGCTTACACCCACAGGTCCTTCACAAATCAGACACACACAGTGATATTTAACTTTGACTTGAACTTTTTCTTAATACAGTGAAACACAAAATGTTTGATGTTTTTGTTCTTTATCATTTAAGAAATAGTAGGATATTCAGATCTCTGCACGTTTCCCCGAAACTCCAGGATTTTCTCTGGACTTTAAATCATGTGGGAAACATATCAATTCAACTTGGTTGAAATGTATTTTCCAGTGGTTCATCTAATGTGAAGTGGTTTTAGAACAGCCATTATAGTTTGTATTTTAATGTGTAAAGTGTCTGTTTCATCCATCACATCAAGCAGAGATTTTTATTTTAATCTGCAACCAAAATAAGTATAAAAACCTTTTTTTTTTTTTTACAACTTAGTCAAATTAAAATTAATCAAGTTTTCACTTGTGTCTCTTTCATTATGTTGCAGTTTGGAGGTATGAAAGGAGAAATATCCCTTATTAAAAACATGGATTATTTCTCCCTGCCATTGTCACTATGAGGGGTTGCTGCAAGGTCGAAAACTAGAAGCAGAGAACAGTTTAACTAATAAACTTGACTCATCTAATCATTCGTATAAAACTGGACTGCCTTTTTTAATCGGTCTGTATGATTAGATTACATTGACTATGGACTTATGTAAATAAATTAGATTGTATTATAGAAAAACTTTCCTAACAATGAATGCACCATCGATAAACCCAGATGAAGATTGAGATCCAAACTAAACTACTAAATCCAAATGATGCACAAAATTATGGGTATTCTTAGAAAATTCTTACATAATGAATCTCACAAACTTAAATCTATCTTAATATATTTTATAGGGATCTTAATGATTTGAAGGGTAAAATATTGGATAATTGAACCCCCTGTAGAACCATCTTCACTGGTAGCTTTATCTGTATTAGCAACACTAAGAGCCCATTTAGGATTAAGTTTTGGCTCATTCACTTTTAGTAGCTTAAGCTCAATCAGATTGGATGGAGGACATCTGTAAACAGCAATTAAACTCGGGTCCTTAAGGGCCAGTGGTAAAAATGAATGAAATCAAATACTGGCCCTAATTGAACGCACCTGATTTAAAATAATTTAATGATTTTCTCAGTGTTTCTGCATAGTCTACAGTGGCATACATAAGCCCTATTAATTTAAAATAGGTGAGGTCAGGCAGGGAGAAGCTTTAAAAATATATAAACACTGTCCTGCTGTCCTGATCTAAAGTCTTTCAAGCTTCTCAGATGTTTTCTTACATATTTGTTTTGTGATTTGGTTAATTTATCTTCAAATAACCTTCAATCATCTTCCCTGTCCTGCCTGATTAAGTATCCCACTCCGAAATGCTATTACGGTGTCGATGATGTGTTCAAGTGCATCACTTTTCAACCAATGTAGGTTAAAATCTTCCATGTTAGTGAAGTTCCGCACGGAGTGTGGGGATCTGCTAATGGGTCAACTTATGGCTTCCATCTTGTGTCACATCTCCCAATGACATTTAGAGCACAAAAAAGTACAATAATTGAAAAATGTAAGAATATTTTGCAGAACACTCTATGTACGCTAACGCACAATAAAACAAGGATAAAATGCAGCTGAACTCTTTTTAACTTTCATTTTGCTCTATGCATTTAGCTTGTGTATTCATTTAGTTTTTCAGCCTGTGCATGTGGATTTAGGCAAGGGTGCGTCATGTATCTGTTCACAGCCCCACAAACTGCATTAGCTCATTTGAGACTTGTCAGGCAGCACTTCTAAACAACAGTGACAGATATGGTTGGTGTGTGTTCATGTGTGTGTTTGTCTGGATGGACAGGCATGTGTTCTACATCATGAGAGTCATGCGTTCACATTAGCAGTGTCCCTCACGCCCCGCACCTCCGCAGCCCAAACCTCTCCAATTAGGTTAGGAAAGTGCAATATCTGTCAGCAGAGGAGTACAAATGTGTGTGTTTTTATCAGTGTTGGGCCCCTGCGGCGCAGGAGCCAGAGCAAACTCCCACAGTGCATGGCAGTTGGTGGGGTAAGGCGGGGCATTCTGGTTTCAATCAGTCACTGCTGCCAATTGAATTACAGTGTGTTTTAGTGCAGTGGCCGACTCCAGACTAATGTGATTTCTGCAGCTCCCGAAGACCAATTGATCAGGTCTAATTCACAGCCCTCACAAAGAGAAAGACGGAGAAGTACAAGGAGGGGGGTGGAGCTGTCTGGATGCGTTTCAGCGGTCTCTGTTTGGGATCTTTGATTGAGGGAAATGGGCAGATGGTTTGATTTTGTCAGCTGATTTTGGCCACAGTGCCGGAATCGGGATTTACGAGAAGTATGTGTTTTGGCCGCATCTGCAGAAATCTGCAGAGGCGTGGTTCTTGGTGTCTGCATTTGTCTGGGACTCAGATTGGATGCATTTTAATGTTAAGAAAAAACGGACAGGTGTGAACTAAGAAAAAAGTGTTAGTAGAGTAGTAGAGACAGTAGGAGAAGACAAGAAATGCACACACACACATATATATATATATATATATATATATATATATATATATATATATATATATATATATATATATATATATATATATATATATATATATATATATATATATATATATATATACAAAAAAGGAAGCTGGAAAAACAACATGCTTTAAATTAAAACATTTCATGTTTTTTTTTATGGAATGGAATAAAAGACTTTCATCGTTTTCAAGAACAAAAATAGACTTTTGTGTTGAAAACTAGAAAAGATTGAGAAGCTATATATTGAATTAATTATTTTTTATAGTTTTTGTTGTATAATAATTAGACTTTATAAGTATATTTAACATTGACATTTGTAGCTATGGAAGTTATAAATACATACACTGTTTAATTACATTTCGTTACATTGACTGATGCACAATGTATTTCAAAAACTATATTATATACATACTTATATACGTAAAAAAAAAAAGAATATATATATATATATATATATATATATATATATATATATATATATATATATATATATATATATATATATATATATATATATATATATATATATAATATATATATATATATATATATAATATATATAACCAAAGCCAAAGTCATCCAGCGACCAATAGATAAGCTCTGTCTTTTAATGGAGGCAGCTGGATGAAATAAGACTTTCTATGGACTGCTTTAAGCATTAGAAATGTTGAGAAGCTCTAGGTAACATTTATGGACAAAAGAATGAATTTTATGTAATGTTTTTGCTAGATGTTAGGCTCCTGTGAATATTATTTTTGTAATTGTTATTTTGCTAAGGCTAACAATTAGGGGCCGGGATGTTGGAGCCTATTAAGAATTAGATTCATTTATCTTTTGCAAAATTATTAATGTTAAAGAGCTAAGGTTATGTGAATGGTAGAGTTATTGTTTATTTGTTTATGTATTTGTTTTGCTTTGACCCTCCTCCTTGTCAGTCCGCCTCCTGCTGAGATTAACAAGTAGAAGCAATTGATGAGGTGGATCTGATTGTTTGTTTGAAGGAGTGAGGAGTGCAACAGTTTTTTCACACACATCACTTAACTTTATATTTGAATTTTTGTAAGTCAACTCTGAGAATATTTCTGTTATTTTTTATTAGTAAAGAAAACACCCTTATTTTGAAACAAGAAAATTCTCCACGAGTGCTTTTTGTTTTGTGAGTCGAAAAACCTCCTCCTAAGACTACTCTGGCAATTTTTGATTTTTTTGGAAACTTTTTTGATGCAAGAGTAGCCGCAACAATATATATATATATAATTTATATAATATGCTCCTGACCACGTTTGATATGTAGATCTTTTATCAAATTCCTATTTAATTGAAACCAAATTTACTCTCTGTGCACCGTTTTTAACTGTTTTGTTTCTGATAAAGTGCATAAATCAAGATGAAAAACATACTCTGTGTGGTTTTGGTTGGCTCAAGAGTTAGAAAAACACTAATCTGTCAGAGCATATTATAACAAGCTGTAAGGAAAGAAAGAAGTAGAATAAGGGGTTAAGGAATGAGGAAAGGGCAGAAGACTGATATAACAGAATGGAAGATTTAGTATGGGCAACAACAAGAAAAAGTGTAAACTATGAACTAGGATAAAACACAGGAATTGTCCATTAGACAAAGAAGCAACAGAGATCCTGATGAACAGGAATAAAATCTCCTCCCTTCTTTAGTGTCTTTTTAGTGAGAACAAAGCCAAACAAACACTTCTGGGCCCAGAATCCCCAGTACCTCTCCATGTCCGTCAGCCGGGAAGAATCCCTGAAGCCTTTGGCAAAAGGGTTGCTGTCGATCTTCAGCTTAGTTATCTGGGGGGACAGAAGCATAAAACAATTTAGACCAATCTGCTTTTCTTCTCTGCTCCCAACTTTGTTTTGCTTCTCCTAGAAATTATTCTTCAGTTACCACATCAGAAAATATCAATTCCATATTTCAAAACAAATATTAAAAGCCAATTTTTGGAAAGTCTTATTAAGACACATTAAAATATGTTAAATATACAGGTTTCATTGGATGTTTTTAGTCAAATTTTCACATAATCAAAGCCCTGGTTAAAAAAAATGCTTTAAGAAAAGTAAGTGTTCGATAAACACATTGCTTTATATTCCAACATTGCTGCATGTAGCATTTAATAAACAACATGTAATTAAATATTTAAAAATTATAATCTAATGTAAATTAATTAAACATTTTTGTTCAGTTATGTTCACATTTTATTTCATTCTTGAATGAGAATCTAAGTAAAATACCTAAATAAAATCATGTAAATATATAAGTTTGCACAAATCATAAATTGGTAAGAGAAATCTCAAAGGGTGTACGTTGTGAGTATATACCACAATCCTTACACCAGGGGGCGCAACAAGTAGGAACTTTTTGCTGCCCAAAAATAAACCCCATCTTCAGTCCTTCATAACAGGTGTCTGAGACTTCTAGATGCGTCTCTGCTGTAACACACCTGACTCCGATTTTAGCATCACTTAGCATCATCATCATCATAATAAGGTGATTTAGCTATTTTATTCAGGTGTGTAGTGCAATAGTCACATCTAAAGGTTACAGGATACCCCTAAGGATGTAAGTTTTATACGAGTAAACTTAACCTTCTTATCCATCCAGGGTCACATTTATTTGTCTGTCTATATGTAACATTTTTTGGAGAGTACAGCACAGTATTAATATATATTTATGTAACAATAATTGAACTTTATTGATCTCACATTGGATAAATTTATCTCTGCATTTAACCCATCTCCTTGTGGAGCAGTGGGCTGCCATTGTGCGGCACTCAGGGAGCAGTGTGGGGTTAAGGTTTTTGCTCAGGAATCCAGAGTGAAGACTGGGGGAATCAAACCAGGTAAATTAAATGACCTTCTCTTAAGATTTCCATTTTCTGATTTAGATTGCAATTTTAACCGCAGTTTAAACAGAAGTTCTGTCTTAAAAAGGTTCATGTGACTCATTTGAGCATGCCTGAACATCTAATATAGAAAAACAAAAATATTAGAGCTTAAGCAGGGACATATGATCAAGAACTGACAGTTTTACTCACCAGCTGGTTCTGATAAGCTGTGACAGCAGTAAAGACGGTCTCAACAAACACAAAGGTGCGAAACTCCTCAGATTTGAGGTTGAGCAACGAGGCGGTGTGGTCTTTCTTTTTGATAATGTGAACTCGTGGCTGATACTTGTGCATAGAATTCAGGATGATCTGCAAAGGGAAAGAATAAGAAACAATAAAGAAAATGTTTTCATACTGCAGACACCAATGGTCCGTCAAAAAGTAGCAAATGCTTTTCTTTCTATTCATTTGAAGTTGACCATTCTGCATGAGTCCCCCCATCAGTTAGCCTCACACATTGTTCCATCGGACATTTCCCTTCATGTTTATACTTGAAATCACTCCCACAGACACTATCTGGGTAACCTCTAGGTCCTTTACAAATACAGGGCTTGTTTTTCCATCTTCCCAAAGATGTATTCCTGACCAATAAACAACTTTTATACATGTATTAATATACACTGAAAAACTAAACAAAAATTTCATCATAAATTTAAAAATAAAAACAATCTGAATATGATTGTTTGCATTTTCTGATGTGAAACGAAACAAACGAAAGATTTTGGTTCTGTAAAAAAAAAAAAAAGCTGTGTTTACTCTCAGCTAGCTTTAACCCTATGTGCTATGATGAGTTGATAAGTAAAGTCTTCACACCAAAGATGGTAACATTTATAATTATGTTACAAACAATGACTTTCATTCACGCCTCAAAAATACTCTTAAATGTTCTTATTTCATAAATAGGGTATAATAAAGCATGTATTGGTCACTGAGAATATGAGTAAATATTGAATTACGGTAAGGTATTGGAGAAATTGTCAACAACAGGATGTTATATGCCTACAATTAGAATGTATTTTATTTTAGGTAATGAATTGGAAGTCTGCAGCCTTTATAATCCAAAGAGAATTAAAAAGAAATAAATTATCCTCAGTCCACCTAAAAAGGAAAACTTGTTACATGATCTTTTGAAAAAATATGACTTGAATGTTAAATTTATATTATCCTCATTAAAATATAAAATACCGAAAATAATTTCATAAATAAACTAAAACGCGGCTGAAACCTGCATTAAATATATCTTAAAAAAAAAAAAAATATGCATCTTTTTTTTTTAAATCAATTTTAACTCAAGTTATTTGTGGAAGGTCCAAGGTGCTTCTTAATGCTCTGTAGCTGCGGCCTTCAAATCTAGATTGTATAATGAGAGAAAAATTATAAAGAAGAATAGAAAAATCTTGGAACACATTTAAGGGAGGTACAATAAATATATTTTTCTCAATCTGCGAATAATATCTTATTTATCCACTAAAAGCAAAGGATGCATCAGCTACAGATGGAGACCTCTTAGGTTTCTCATTTTGTTACAGAAATACTAGCAGTTATTTTTCTTTATGGTATTTCAAAAATAATAATGACATAAGTTGCTTGTTGCACATATTTCTAATAATCTGCTATGTCTTTACATTCATGAAATCCCTTTGCTATTTTTAATTTTTTGACTTTTTCAAAATTTTACTGTTTATCTATAGTTTAATTTGCCTGTTTGTTTTGCAATTAATACAGCTCTTTTCCCATCGTGTCTGACAGTAAAAGTAATCTCTTATGTATTTTCATTCTGGGTAATTACCCTATAAAATCCGTAGATTTCTTTTCAGTTTTAGAAAAATAAAATGTTAAATTTTCATATTACTGAGACTGTGAGCAAATAAAATGAAGTAACAAGTGATATTTTATTTATATATTTATATATATATATATATATATATATATTTATATATATATATATATATATATATATATATATATATATATATATATATATATATCTAACGGACAATTTGCCTCCTATAGACAAAAAAAAATGACTTAATAAAAGTAAAAGCTAAACAAAAACTGAAAAAAAGCATAAATGAAGCCAAATATTGTCTAACACTTGGACCTGAGCCAGACCTTTATTTTTTTTAATGGTTATATTTCTTTCTGTAAAAACAGGAAATTGTAAAAGAGAAAAGCCGCGCTCACGTGTCCGTGCTGGTCCAGCTCGTTGTTTGTCAGCTTGACCTTCTCGAAGGAAACCATCTGCTTCATCAGCTGCTCCCCGGTGAACGGAGAGTCCGGGTGGACGTATAACCTGCAGCGGGAGAACACATCTCACATCTGATTGGCTCAGAGGAATTCGAAGCGCGGGTCGCTTGACCAATGAACGCGCAGAACTTAATTGACTTTAATTGACACAAAGTGTATCGTCATAAAACGTCTGACTAAATCTTCTCATTTTCTGAGGTTGGTGAAAAACGGTCGTACGTTTGTAATGAAAATTTACCCTTTTTTTCTTATGTCACCACAAGCAGCCGTTTCTTTATTTTCAAGCAAATAAGGAAAGCATTCAAGACTTTTATCTTTCAGCATCAGAAAACTGGGTTTTTTAAGGTACTGATTAATTGCTTTTAACGTGATATTATTATTATACTGTTGAATTATAATTGTAGCCCATGATAATTGCAGAGGCAAATGCTGGTTCTTATAAAGATGTTGATTATATTGGGAATAAATAATTGATAAATATATCCATGTTGGATGAGGAGACTAAACAGTTTGTATTGTCCCTGGTATAAGGAAAATGAAAACAGCATAAAATAAAAAAAATGTTTTTAATTTTTTTTTTTTTTTTTTTTTTACTGTTTTTTTTGTTTGTTTTTTGTTTTAATCTTAACCTTTGCTATAGAAAGAAAATATGATAAAAATCCAGAATAATGTCCTGTTTGGTGGTGTTTAGGCTACCTGGCGGGCAGAGGAGGGTCGGCCTTGCCGGCCACCAACCAGGAGGAGCGGTGGTAGGCGTAGCGGTACCGCTTGTTGTCCACCGGGACGATGTCCATCAGGACGATGTACTTGGAGTCCTGGTCAACCCCGGAGAAAGAAACCCGGATGGTAGGAAACATCCGCCTGTAGGATAATATTCTTCTTATTATTATTGCGATAAATAAAATAATAAATAAACAAAAAAGAAAATATAAAAATAAAATGTAAAGGGAATATTTGGATGATTCAGCGTTAGAGACGGATTTAACTCCATAAAAACAACAGGATATGTAATAAAGGTTGAATAAACCTTCTTTGATCCTAGACACAGCAGACAAATGGGATCAGATTAATGGGATTTTAGATTGGATTTTAAAAAGAAAAAAATAAATACAACCAAACATTATGCAAACAGCCTGTTTATCAAATCATGAAAATAATAAAATATATCAGGTTGGATATATGTTTAAAAAATTTATTTTAATGTGGCTACAAAAAAAATATTGTGGTAAAGTGATGCCTTTAGAGTAAAATAAATTGTGCTGAAAATGTTGGACTTCTTTATCACAATTAACCCATTGCATTAAATTTAAAGAAAGTATTTTCGTTTGAAAAATAACCATTTTGTAAAATTAACCCTTGTTGTGTGTAGCACAAAAAAAAACCGCCCCAAAAAACCCGACAATAGTTATAACCTCTACTGAAAGTGAAGACTTAGAAAGATTTTAGTTGTCATTTTGTTTATACCAGCGTAAAACAAAAAGAAATTTCGTTTGTAACAGCTCTCTGGACAATTTAATCTGCAGCCTTGATAGTAAAAAAAAAAAATACAAAAATAAATAAATAAAAAATAAAAATGTGTGTGTATATATATATATATATATATATATATATATATATATATATATATATATATATATATATATATATATATATATATATATATATATATATATATATATATATATATATAGATAGTAAAAAGTGTTTTTTAAAAAAAAAGTGAAATTGGTTTCTATATCTCTGCGCTGTCTGACCAGTACATAAATAAATAGAGAGCAGCAAATTTTTTATTTATTTCATTTTAAAAAATATAAAAAAATAAAACAATTTAATAAAAACATAACATGTAGCACAGACAGACACAAATCCTAAAACAATAAATTTAAAGACAAGAAGGGAAGAGGCCATCTTTATTTATATTTTCCACATTTCATACATATTCTATGTGTTCAGAGTGACTAGCAGTATCTGCATGAATGCATTCAAACACTTTACCTTCCAGACTTGGTGATGATCATCTCAGTACCGAGCTCGTGGAATTTGTCCCAAAGCTCTTTGGTCTCCAGGCTGCACGAGATCTTGGCCATCTCCTCGCTGGGGATGCCGGGATTGGTGGGGATGAGCGGCTCCGTGCACACTGCGGGCGCGTTCCCGCTGAAGTCCCCGTGCCCGTCCAGGGAGGACAAGTCAGCCAGGGACTGCTGGTTGCAGGAGGATTTCTCCACGAATTGCTCTGATATTAGGAGGATGAGTAAAAAAGAAAAGAAATGCAGAATAAAAATGAGGATAGTTCTTATTTCACATTACAACCTTTAAGCAGAGAGAATGATAGGCCTACATAAAAAAATCCCTAAGACGTAAAAGTCTCAGCAATACAAGTAAATAGGCAAGGGTAAAAAAAAAAGAAGAAGAAAAAAAAGCAAAGGCAACAAAATAAAAACAAAAAGCAAAATTCGTGGAATAATTAACCTTTGATATTCTGGAATTTAAATCCATAAACGTGTCAATAAAAATGAGAACAATCATCATGGATTCATAATATATGAGTTTTTATTCGTGTACCTGATAATAAGTAAGCCCTCTCAGAGTAAAAACGACAACAATATAAAAAATGTATTTAGGTAAAAACTTCACAACTTTTTTTTAACAGAAAAAAAAAAAAAAAAAAACGAATAACTTTTTTCAGCAAATTGATAAGACCAAATATCAATATAATGTAAAAAACGACGATCGTGTATCAAACGTTCTCAGGTGATAAATGGACCAAGCTGTGCGTAAAAGCTTAAATGTGCGTTTCCACATCAACGTTTATTTGACATTTTTCTTTCACATAAAAAATAAAAAGAAGCAAAGCCTTTTCTCTTATTTTAATGTTACATATTCAATATTTAACTGCCATTTTTTCTCAACAGGATCCAGCAGTGATTGAGATAAAATAGATTCTTACCCAGAGGTTTGATGGTGTTCTCCTCCGCCTCCTTGTCCTTGCTGGACTTCCCGCTGGACATCAGGGCGGCTATGGAGAAAGCATTGGCCCGGGATGAGAGCTGCGGCTTGGGAGATGACGTGTACTCCATGTCGGTGCTGAAAAAAAGGCAAAATATTCCCCTCTGATCAAATAAAAGCAGAAAATCTCCAGAGATGCCGGCCGCCGTTTGGCTCCAAGCGGCAGAAAGTTGAAGAAATTTACGCGCTGTTCTTCCTTGGTTTAAGGACTTTCTGCGCAAAAATGCTTCGCTGAAGTGTGCAGGTTAACAGTCAAAAAGAAAGACAAGCAGTTTTATTGCAGCCTAACAGGAGGTCTTGTTGGATTCATGTTGAAGGAGGAACGCACAAGTGTCTCCTGGTGGATGTCAGACCTGAGGCCAGCGGCTGGGACGCATCAGTCCGCTACGGTTCAGCCTCTCCTTATTATTCCAGTCTGCCCTCCAATCACTGCCTCTGCCTCCACGTCACGCTCCCACTGTCTCACAGAGGCCCTGAAAGCGAGCAGCCAATTAAATCACCTGCTGCTGCCAGCAGAGACAGACAGGGAAACAGAGCTGGAGCAGAACAGGGAGAGAGAGAGAGATTGGAAGTAATAATGTGAGAATTTTATGACTGCAGAGGCTGATGACAGACTGAAATGACTAATATATGCAGGAGAACTCCTTTGATGTCTTGCAAAACAAAAAGGAATCCATATGAACCATCCTTTACATTTGCTTTACCTTGATCCCCTTTAAAGATAATGAAGGACATTTTAATGCATCACTTAATCCAGAGGGTGAAAATGACCAACAAAGGAAGTTCTTGGAGGAGAATAAGGAGAATAATAAAATAGATAATTAGATATATGTGGAAGTTTTTTAAAGGCCTTTTAACCTATGATAATTCCCCTGCTCTATACTTATTTAAATGTATTATTACAATTTAATTGGTGGTTTTATCCATTTCATCCAGAAAAAAAGGTGCATCAAACAGATTGGGACACAGGTCTACAAAAAAGTGCCTTGTTGTATTTTTTATAATAAAAAGAAAAGGTTTTGAAATTTAACTATATTTGGCCCAGCAATTATTTTGGTTAAAAAGAAAAAAACAAAAACAAAAACAAAAAAACTGCATGAACAATGTGTTTTGATTTTCATGTTTTTTTAAGTGTTTCTTTTCATCATTTGTTGTTTTATACATTTTTAAAATGTTTTATTGATTTTGAAAAAAATAGAGGACCATGCATATTAATGAACAATAGACAATATAAATATGCCAGATTACAGCTTTAGGCTAATTTCAATCTGTCCTCCTGGCAAGTTGTTGTCACAGGCAAATTAGATATTTAAAACACTAAACATAGACACCATAACGTACATCATAGTACAGTGAAACAATAAGGTCAATGACTATAATGAAGAAATCACAGCTCTTATACTGCACTGATCACACTGGTATTTTACTTAGTTATATATTGCACTGAAAGCATTAAAGATAAAAAATAGTCCATAGGTGTTAATCACTATAGTGCACCCCGATCACTCATGATCAAATGTTTGAGCATCTAGCAACCGCATTTTTTTATTTATTTAGAAGGTTTGAAAACTTTAGCATTCCCTTGCGGAAATAGGCTTAGTATTCCAGAAGGTTGAGGCCTGAAGTGACATGAGGTTTTGTGAAAAGGATGTCTGTCTAAATCAAGGTTCAAAATCACCTCTCACAGTGGCTTACTTTTTAATTAGCTCTGCAGTTATGTTATCGTATGTCGTATTATTAACTAATGAGAGAAAATAAAATAAAATAGATTAAAAGTAAAGAAAAGTTGTAAAGGTTTTAAAAAAAATGTACTGACATATATTAAGGAGGGATATTTAAAGTGTTATTTTGAATCCAATAGGTTGTAAGAATAGCTAAGATAGGATAAATAACACAGTGAGCATAATATGGAGTGCTGGTCAGAGGTACATTTCTGACTCACATGTAAGAAACCATTCAGGACAAAATGAACATTTTAAAAAATTTCAAGGAGAATTCAGGAAAGCAAGTTTCACCAAAGATTCACTTAGGCTTAATGTTCAGCAGGTCTGGTTCAGCCTCAGGTGAGGAATCGAATAGGCAATCTGCAAAATTTTCAAAAGTCTTCATCACACCTGCTGCCTTTCCGCAAATACAGAAAAAATATCAAGGCAAAACAGCGGAAGATGAGCTTTTTTCAGCAAAAGTCTAATTAGTGACAGCAGCCCTTGTTTATTCTGAAGCTTTCCCTGTCCCAACTATCAGTTTATAACTGCTCCTAGTCAGTCAAAAAAAATTAATACATGAAAAACAAATCCAACCAGAGGGAGGATGCACAATAAATGCAAGATCTGGCTCAAAACAACAATCTGTTACTAGTGTGAGTCCAATGCAAGCTGAAATTATTTCAAGGAGCATCTGGCACCATGTTCCCAAAGCAGTAACCTCTGTGTTGCATGTTTTTTTCAGTGTCCTCAAAGTCACTTTTACTCTTCTCAGGGAAACAGCAGCTAACCCAAACACAGAGCCAAAGACCGGCCAAGCAGCTAAACCTATTAGGGGACTCCTGAATGCAGATCTGCTGGTGCAGATATTTAATAAGAGACCTGCACTGGCAAATGAGATTACCTTGCAATTGGCAGTGGATAATGTGCTAAAAGCTTTCCCTCTTAAGCGTCACTCCTTACTGAATATTATTCACACTTTCAGGGGCCGCTGGCGCCTTAAAGAAACAGGCAGCATGGAGGTTAAAGCACAGATGGTGGTTAGTGATGGTGCTGCATGATGATTAACAAAGGAAACAGAAAAAAATGAAGGAACACTTGATGTCCTCTTTATATTAACATAGGCCTTTAGCGAGTAATAACATTTATATATTTAACATACATTTGAACTGAGATAGATATATAGATAATTAGATTTTAAAACAAGTTTCTTCTTTATGCAGCTCTGCATGCTTTCCTCGAGTTGATCTCACCAGCAGGAGGAGGAGGAGATAACAAGATAGGTGACGGCTCACCAAACCCAGAGCCAGCAGCACTCAGGGATATGACAATGAAACCGTCCAAACAATTCTTCTGAGGGGGATAAATGGCCATCGTGTAAAGAGGTCAGCAGCACACGAAAGCCAATTCCCTGCAGAGTGGAATCTGAGTAAAAATAATCGCCCTGTGATTGAATTAAACCCTGGGACATTTGAGCCACAGTAATGAAATGGCTGTTTGTTGTGACCCAGTCCTTTCACCTTCCTGACAGATTCCTTCTTTTCTTTGTCTTTTTTTTTTTTTTTTTTTACCAGATTAGAGGACAGGCAGCGGGAATATGTTTGATATATTGGTAAGCATTTGTTTTGTCAATGTAAATCCTCATTATCACCACTGCTTCTGCATATTACATGGCAGTGTTCACCTGCAGGGCTGAGGGGACACAGGGGGCCGATTTATGTTGCTTCAGCTAAAGGCTGCTGTTTGTGACTGTTACTGTGAATATAAAAGTATTTTATTCTAAAACACCTCATAGTTTCAAAATGCTTTTTCTACATTTAATGGAAGACACAACAACTAGAATTTAAATTAAAAAATAAAATACAAATGAAGATAACATATATAGAAAAATAAAAGGCACAGCTTTAAACCAAAACTTTGCCCAATTGTATTAAATTTTGCACATTAGTCTCACCTCACATCATTTATAATTTTAGACTGTTTTGAAATAAAATTTACTTTTTTTTAGTGGGACTTATCTGGCATTTGCTGATATGCTTCGTTTGGCTGGAGCCATTGTTCAAAATGATAACAAAGAGTCAAAATGGTCTCATTACTAAAAGCTAGGAGAATGGGACCCGGAAGATAAAAAGAATAGCATAAAGACAGCTTTCAGTAGTTAAAGAAATTATAAAATAGTGAAAAACTTACAACGGAACTGGAACCTTCTATGACAATATTCATAACAACAACAAGGAAGCTGGTAGGGAGGCTGGCAGGAGCAGCAGTTTTTTCTGAAAAGTGCCAGTTCTGTTCTAGGTGACAAAACAATCAACTGCCTTTTGAGGTTGGAAAATTAAAAGATGAAGACCTTCAAAACACGGAGGTGGAAGCATTGTGAAGAAACCCAGAGACTTAACCTCGAAACACCAGGTGTCTGCTAAAATGTAAAGACAGATTCAATTTTTTAAGCATCACTTGGATGCCTACGTAGTATGCGGCCGAGTCGATCACAGATTAGATTTTTTTAATGATGTTTTAAGTCAGACAAAAAAATTGACAGAAAATCTGTGGGGTCACATTGAAAGGGCTGTGGATATGAGACATCCACACGGTAGGATAGACCCACGTCAATTCAAAAAGCTCTTTAAATATATATCTGTAGCCCTTTTAAAACAAATCCAATTCAAACAAAAGCAGTTTTATAACTGAATGTCCTCCTATTTAAATGCACTAACAAGAAAAAAAAAAACTGCATCAAATACAAGAGCTTATATAATAAAAAGAAAACAAGCCATATAGCAAAATTAAACTGTGGGAAATCTGTCCTTGAAGTGCTTGAATTAACAAATGCAACAGAAAAGACAAAACAGTATCTCACCCGCTTTAGGTTTGTCTTTTTGCTGCAGAGCACATGATACTTCAAGGCAGCATAAGAAAAGGACAGGATTAAACTCAATGGAAATTAATTGACATGATAAAAAAAACAAACAATAAAAGGCCTTTAAAAACTTTAAAAGCTATACCATTATCCCTTATGTAGAAAATCTAACTTTAAACCTATTTTAATCAATTGATCTAGCACAGTGCTGCATTTGTACTTTATATACATTTCCAATGTTGGGTTAAACCTGGGCTTTAAAAGATCAACACTGCAATAAGTTTGTTTTTGCAGATATATAAACAATGTCTGTAAAAATAGCTGCAGGTTTTCTGCTCTCCTTTGAGTCCGTAGTAGGCAGTCCATTAAAGTGATTGTTTTAGAGTGAACGCTGCATTTCTGATGCTGTCTTGGTGACAGACTGGAATAGAGACCTTTGGAAACAATGACTTCTCTTCCTGATTGGCTCTTATCAGTCTCTGTGTGTCATCATGTTCCTATCACGTGTTCACAGCCAATCCCCAGCTTCCTGATATAGATATTTTTTTACTCCTGCTTTAAAAGCCAGATTATGATCCAAAGTGCTATTTTAATGAGTAATGGTGTTTAGAGTTCTTTACAGGAGTCTGAAGCAGTGACGGCGGCACAAGCGAATTATGTGTCAGGGGCAACGGAGGGTGTTTATTATATTAGGGATATTTTTATGCAAAACATTGCCTATTGTCACTCATGTGAAATATTCTTCTCTCTCACTGTTGCAATACATGCCAACTACTGTGTAGTCTGTGTAATTTTGTGCTCATGTATAAGGTCAGTACATCTCTGCAGTACAAGTGCAATAATCCAAGTCAAATACTGTGTAGTCTTT